GCTTGTTACTCTTGGTGGTTGCCGCCACCTAGACAGCTTGGAGCAGCGAAGATCGTCGAGCGGAGGTTGGTGATTGTCTCCGGCTCCGATCGTGGTGATTGTGAGGGGTTCTTGACCTTTCCGGCGGAGAGCCAAAAGGTACTCTAGTGGATTGCTCGTGGCTTGTGTGATCCTCATCTTGTGTTGGTTGTGCGGCACCCTATTGAGGGTTTGGCGTGTGATGCCAATTAGCGCGTGAACCTCCAAGTGAGTGAATCGCCACAATGAGGAGTAGCTTGCCAGCAAGCAAGTGAACCTCGGTAAAAAAATCATTGTGTTCATCATTTGATTCCGAGGTGATTGGTCTTCATTGATATTGATTCTTGTGATTGATTGGTTCACTCCTCGACACGGTGGTATAACTATCTTGCTCACTCTCTTTACATTACCACAAACTAGTTGTCAAGCTCTTTAGTGTAGTTAGTTGTGAGAGCTTGTTAGTTTGGTTAATGTGGCTCTTTAGTTAGCCTTTGAGAGCACACTAACTTAGTGTAGTGACAGCTATTATGTGGATAGAAACTATATCAACTAGAATTGTGGTAGGTGGCTTGCTATTTTAGTAGGCTAGCGCAACTCTTGCTTCGCCTTATAATTGTCTAACCGATTTATTAAGTGTTGTTGTAGAAATTTTTATTAGGCTATTCACCCCCTCTAGCCATTAGGACCTTTCAAGTGGCGAGCTTGTAATGCTCACGGTCGCACGTGTAGGCGTGCGAAAAGGTGCAACCCACGGTGATAACGTCGTTCAGTCCTGGCATGTTCAACTTGAGGTAGGTGTAGTTGGGGATAGCCATGAACTTGGCATAGCATGGCCGCCCCAAGATGGCGTGGTAGGATCCTAGAAAGTCCACCTCGAAGGTGAGGACCTCTGAGCAGAAGTTGGCTCAGTCACCAAACGTGACGGGCAGGTCGATCTGCCTGAGTGGGTACGCCTACGTCCTCGGGATCACGCCATGGAAGGGAGAGCTCACTAGGCGGAGCTCTGACCGGGGGATGTGCATGGCATCGAGGGTGTCGACATAGAGAATGTTGAGGCCGCTGCCTCCGTACATCAGCACCTTGGTGAGGCGCTTCTTACGGACGATGGGGTCGACGACAAACGGGTAGCGACCAGGTCGGGCAATGTGGGAAGGATGGTCTCTTCGATCAAAAGTGATCGGGGAGTCCGACCAGCTAAGGAAAGAGGGGATGGCCGACTCGGCGGTGCATGCCTCTCTATAGCATACCTTGTGCTGGCGCTTGGAGTGGATGGCGTCGGATCCCCCAAAGATCATGAGGCATTCCTCAGGGTCGGGGAAGCCGCCATCATCCTTGCCTGCCGTGCCTCCTTTCTTGGTCTCCTCCTCCTTGCCTTTCCCTTCCTTTGGCTTGTAGTCCTTGTAGAGGTGTTTGATGGGGTAGGCGTGGTTGGTGCATGGACTCTCCATGAACTTGTTGAAGTGGTCGAGCTGGCCGTGCTAGGGCTGCTTGCCCGCACGACCGGTCGTGGCGACCAAGGCTGGGTTGGCCGGTCGTCACCGATCCTTCTTGTTCTTCCTGCCCCTTTACGTGGAGGGGCCTTCGCCTTGGTCCTCACGCTTGGCCTTGCCCCTATCCCGGCCACTGCTAAAGACCGCTCCAACCTCCTCCTCACCGAAGGCATGGTTCATGGTGATGTAGAGCAGGTCACGGGTGGTACGGGGCTTCACACATCCGAGCTTGTGGATCAAGGACTCACAGGTTATCCAGAGAGGAATGTGCTGATGATGTCTGCGTCAACTACATCAGGAAGGGATTTGCATTGCTTTGAGAACCTACGGATGTAATCCCATAGGGATTTGCTAGGCTCCTGCTGGCAGCTCTTGAGGTCCTAGGAATTCCCTAGATAGACATATGTCCCCTGGAAATTCCCGACGAAGACCCTCTTGAGATCTGCCCAGAAGCGAATGCCATAGGGCGAAAGGAATTTGAGCCATGCTCGAACATGCTCCCCCACACAAATGGGGAGATACTAAATAATAAAATGGTCATCATCCACTCCTCTGGCTCGGTAGACGAGCTAGAAGTCTTCGAGCCATATACTGGGGTTCATTTCCCCGGTGTATCTGGCGATGTTGGTGGGTGGTCGGAAGCATTGTGGGAACGGTGCTATCTGGATGCGACGACCATAGGCCCGTGGTCCCGGGCCATCCGGGCTAGGACTCTGGCCGTTTGGTCGGCCACCATGCCTAGGGTGCATGTCCCCGCACTTCTCAATGGTCAGGCCGGGGCTGTATCGCGCTCTCGCCGCCACTCGATAGGCGTCATCATCATGCCGGGCATGGCGTCGATTGTTGATGATGCTGTGAGCATCATGGTTTGGCCCGAGGCATTCACGCACAGGTGGTTGGTGTGGAGCGGGTGCTGGGTCGAGCTATGGGGCAGCCACGTCCTCCTGCCCCACCTCGGCAACATCAGTGGTGAGTGGATAGAGCGATTCGAGTGGTGTGGCTCTAGTCCTCCTGTTGGGCAAGAGGCTGCTGAGCCGGTGTCGACGACGCGGAGCTCTTCACCTGTTGAACGGCGGTGGCCTCCACCAGCGCCCGTAGGTTCTAGTGGATTGCTTGTTCCTGCGGGTCGACCGGCTCGAGAAGGCCGCGCAGAAGCATCACCGCAGCAGCGATGTTCTGGCCAGCTCGAGTGAACTCAGGGGGGTCGTTCCCTCCATCTAGGATGTCGCTCTAGACCTGATAGGCGTGACCTCGAGCGCCGCTCGTCGGGTTATGTGCGCGTGGCGCAGCGTGTTGCGTCGAGCGTGCTAGCGCAGGTGGCGGCTGGCTCTGCCACCTTTGTCGTAACTCCTCATCGTGCTTCTGCGCACACGCGAGGGCCTCCACACGAGGGTCTGGACGGGTGTGAGTCTGTAGAGACTCCACTATCACCGGTGGCTGTCCGGAGCATCCGCCATAGCGTACTCGGAACAGAGGGTGGCGGTGCCACGACATCACCGATGTTGGAGCCTTCGCTTTCAACCTCGTCATCCACGAGGTCATGAAAGAAGGCGGGAGCGTAGCCCGTCATCCCCACGAATTCGGATGTGAGAGGCGGCAGCGTCAGCATCCTTTGGAGCCCCCGCGCATACGCGTCCGCAGGGGACGCGAAGCCGTAGGGGAACCGGTCGCACGGCGGTCACGGTGGGGACAACGGGGTCCCTTCAGAGAGTCAGCGGAAAGTAGTAAACAACGAGTAAAGAACAATATGTACGTTACTCATCGTAGAGTTTGAGCCCAGCATGGGCTCGAGGCGAAGCGTGAGTGTCTCGATGTTGGGGTCGTTGAGTGGTCCGGGGCCGGTGGGGAGCGCTCCTCCTCCAGTGGACGCCGGGACGAGCGCCTCTTCGTGAGGCGCAGTACGTCGAGCCGGTCGGCGACAAAGTCTAGACTCCCGAAGAGAAAAGTCTAGAGTGGTTGGAAGACGGGAGGAACCCACATCCCAACAGGTGGGAGCGGGAAACTCCAGTGAGCCAAAGTGAATCGTATCGCTCAAGCCCGCCATGCCGAAGATGGTGGAAAGGTGGGCTATCCGATGACCAAAAGCGTGAACGCATGGCGTTCTCCCCACGGACGGCGCCAACTGTTGGTGCGAAAAGTGACCAACAAGTAAATATTTATAGTTTTACCGTGCGTTGTGATCAGATGTGGCCTAACACTCAATGACATATGATTTATACTGGTTCAGGCAACGTGCCCTACGTCCAGTTTCGGTCGGTCGGAGGCTTTATTCCTGAGTCCAGGTGCTCGAAGTTTGCTGTGGGGTTACAAACGAGTGGGAATAAAAATGGGAGGTGCTAAAGGCCCGGTCGGACTCTGAACCGGAGGGTCGAGAGTGACGGGGGCTCTAACATGCGCTAAGTGTTGGAGCGAATGCTCTGTGTAGCTTTAGAGTTCTAGAGCTATTGAGCTATTCGAGTTCTCTTTTTTTAGGAGAACTAGAGTCAGAATAGCCAGAGAGAATGTCCTGCCTCTTTTCTTTCGAGAGCCGAGAGAGCGTCCTCCTGAGAGGAGAAAGCGCATCCCATTTTATAGTTTGAAGGAGATGGCCTTACAAGTCAGAGAAAGAGAGAATGGATACGTGTGCTACCTAGTCTTGTTGCCCACGCTGTCGGGTATGAGACGGTCGTCGGTGGCCACAATATTGTTTATGTCAGACGCATGTGGCAGGCTCTACCGTGTTCATCTGGTACGGCAAACGTCGGCGCCTACAATACTGTTTGTATTCTGACATGTCTGGAAGGTTGCATGGTGTCCGTCTGGCATGGCCTGGTGGCACCGTCCTAAAGGTGCGCAGGGCATGTCAGGGTACGGTCATCGGTATTACGGTTGACTTGAGCGCCTTACCTTATCTGCTTTGCCTGATCCCTGGGCCCTCACCAAGCGGGCGTCCCCGGTCGATCGTTCCTAATTGGCCCCGCCCGTGTCGGTCGGGGAAGAATCATGAGCAGAGGTCCGGCGTATCCCCGGTCGGAAAAGGAGGTCGGAGTCGGACTGTGTCCCCACCTTGGCCAGGCCTTCCGGTCGGGGACCGGATCGTTGCCCTGGCCTGTTATTATGTATCTGGGCCGACCTGGGAGGCATGCGTTGTCGCAACGCCGTCTGCTAGGCCGAGTTTTTTTACAGGGAAGCGGATCCATTGGGGGCCCCGGGTTTAGGAACCCGATAGAATTATATGTACACAGAAAGAATAATTATTATATACACACACTACTAGTTGGTGCCGAGATTGAGAATTATATTTGTTTCGAACCTTTGTGACTTATTAGAACGCAATGAACTACTAGCAGATAACAATCTATTTCAATTTCATTCATTTATCGGAATTAATACACACTGCTTGCCCTATATAAAGCCGTAACTCCCCCCTCCTCTCGAACCAAACTCACACGCCGCACCCAAAGCGACCAACCTCTGCTTCACACCGTACCTGCCACTGTGCCACGCCGCGGCATGCCGATGTCGTCGCAGCGCCCGGGCCGCCACCAGCTTCGCGCGTCGCAGAGCGTGTTCGTGCTCCCGGAGAACCTGGCCTCCCTCGACGTCGACGCGGCGGCCGAGGTGGGTGCGAAGGCCGGCGGGCCCGACGGCGCCGGCCCCGGCGCCGAGCAGCAGGCGAGGCCGCCCGCGGGGCGTCACCGCCGCTCCATGTCCGTGGCCGTGGCCTCCAGGGACCTCGAGCTGATCAAGGAGGACCTCGGCAGCTACAAGCTCGGCGCTTGAGAGGGGCCGGCTGGGCTGGCATGGCATACGCCCTGTCAAAGCTGCCTTTGATGTACATAGGTCTGTGCCCTGTGGGTTAACCGTACCCAAAGCTGCCTTTGATCGGGCTAAAACAGTATGTTGATTTGCATGTAAGGTCTCTCCGTTAATTTTGAAATTTTTGCTCAACACAAGACATTGCATGTAATACTACTACTAGTACTATGTAACTTTTTCATTACGAAGAGGAAGTATTTGGAAAATCTTAATCGCGTGAAGATCGGTACCTCTGCTCAGCGACAACATGACTTCTCTTAAGATCGGTACCTCTGCTCAGTGACAGCATGACTATTCTCACTTGAGCTTATGCAAATCACAACTTATCTTTTTCGCACAAAAAACGATAGAAAGATGCTATATATCAGTTAAGTTGATTGCGATTTACTTTTTACTTGTGGCAGCCGATCTTAACCTGTTTGCTAAAACACGCGCGAGTTATACATTTTTTTTTGGAGCTGATGATGAAACTGTGTAATGGCGTTAGTTTGTTCAGATTTGCATTTTATGGGGGTCATATAATGCAAGCTGGAACTTGATACGGTAACCTAGCATAAGGTCATACGCAGTGGTGTCGTTAATGCCTTTTATTAGCTTCTACGTAGGATAGAGAACCGAAAAGAGAAGGAGCTGTCACTGCGGTTAATTAGTGAGAGCCGCTAGCACGCGTCTCCATGCCAAGTGAGCCCCGTCATGTGACTTCGTCTCTCTCCCTCTATGCTCTCTCGTTTCCATCCGTGTTCCCTTCCTTACCTCCACTATACTCATCAACACGACAACACCGATGGCAAGAGGAAGGAGACTTTCGTCGCCGTGGCCCCTGCTCATGGCTTGGGCGGGCTGTTCTCAGCTACCCGGTGAGGAGGTCCCACTACTAGAGAACAGACTTTAGAACGATGTCTCAATTTAACATTAGCCTCGGTATTTTTTTTCCTGGGACTAAAGATTCCTGCCCAACGGTCGTCTGCGGGGTAGGGATCTTTAGTCCCGGCTGGTATTACCAACCGGGACTAAAGGTATCGAAGAGTTAGCGATGGGTTAGCCGAAAATCATAGTTTATCAGAAGCTTGGTCTAAAATTCCCGAAAAATTAGCCTTTTATGATTATATTGGTAATAATCCGGCAAAGGGAGAATTATTCAGAGCAGGCTCAATGGACAATAGGGATGGCATAGCTGTTGGATGGTTAGGACATCCCGTCTTTAGAGATAAAGAAGGACGCGAGCTTTTTGTACGTCGTATGCCTACTTTATTTAAAACATTTCCGGTAGTTTTGGTAGATGAAGAGAGAATTGTGAGAGCGGACGTTCCTTTTAGAAGAGCAGAATCCCCGGTTGGTAATATCAGCCGGGACTAAATCGTTTAGTCCCAGTTTGAGTGATGTCTCGGGAATAAAGATTAATCTTTAGTCTCGGTTTGGCTTCCTAACCGGGACTAATTATTTCGGCCTATAAACCAGCTCATTTCTTCCTCCCCGAGCCCGAGCCATTCCATTCAAACTCACTGCCTCTGTTCTTTAGCTTGCTGTTGTTCTTGCTCTCTCCCCCTCCATTGGTGTTGCTCTTCGATTTTGGAGGTAACAAACTTAATCCTCTTATGTTTTATCAGTAGCTTATCTCATTTTGCGATGTAGATGCATGTGTAACTTTATATGTTGGACTTTATTATGATTTATGTCATTTTTAGCTCAAAATCACATGATGATTTGCATATATGTTTGGATAAACAAAAGTTAAATTAGTTCATCAAAATCTTACGTGATCTTAGAATTAAATTTTTCATGAAATGAAAAACTTAGAAAAATACTTAGAAAATTATAGAAAATCCGTACTAGTTGAACTTGCGGACCGTGTTCATCTCGGTGAGCATGTTCTCTGCTGAGCAGTAACGGACGTTAAGGAGGAGCATTGATTCTACGAGGGAGAGCGACAACGGTCGTGGAAGACCGTATTCCCTTCCTCGTAGAATCGGAGCTCTTCCTTGGCCAAGTACGGTGCCGTCCGGTGGAGAAATGCTCGCCGAGATGATCACGTAAGCAATGTCAACTAGTACGGATGGTTATTTATTGAAACATGTTTTTAAGCTATAATTTGATGGATATTTGATAACTTCAGATCTACAAATGTCATCTACAAATGTTACTATCCTCAGCAACCTAAACGCCCGCGAGCTCGCCGATATCGAGCAGGTCGCTTAGAATTATTTTTTCCATGAAATGAAATACTTAGAAATCATGCCTTTTATTTTTTAAATTAAATTTTCCATGAAATGAAAAACTAAGAAAATAGTTAGAAAATTATAGAAAATCCGTACTAGTTGAACTTGCGGACCGTGTTCATCTCGACGAGCATGTTCTCTGCCGAGCGGTAACGGACGTCAAGAAGGAGCTTTGATTCTACGAGGGAGAGCGGCAACGGTCGTGGAAGACCGTGTTCCCTTCCTCGTAGAATCGGAGCTCTTCCTTGGCCAAGTACGGTGCCGTTCGGTGGAGAAATGCTCGCCGAGATGATCACGTAAGCAAGGTCAACTAGTACGGATGGTTATTTATTGAAACATGTTTTTGAGCTATGTGATTTCTATGTTATTTTTAGCTCAAAATCACATGATGATTTATAATAGTAAAATCACTTGATAGTTTGGTATTTTACTATTATACATAGTACATATTTCATGGTTTAGTTAGATAAATAAATAATTTTAGTTTTGTTTAAATATATTATTTTAGAAAATGTGAAATTTACACTAGTTTGCAAAAATAAGTATAGAAAGTAGATGACAACTGGTACCGGATCCTCGGCCTCTCGTTTGGTTGCGAAACGACTGAAGCCAGAACTCACTCTCATTATCTGCGGCAAGTGTAAGCAGAAGATTATGATGGAGTACCAAGTCAAGAAACAGGGACCCAACAAGGGTCGTGTTTTCTACAAGTGTCCGGATCGCGATGCGAGTTTCTTACGCATTTGATTATTATGGCTAATTGACCTGTTTTTCTTGAATATTTTTGACTAAATATTTTTTGGCTTTAATTTCAGTGGGAGGACAATGGATGCGATGGTTGGTACTGGGAGGAAGATTATGCTACATACGTGCATAATTCAGGTGCGCTTGAGGTAGCGACTGCTGATGATGAGGCAGTGAGCCAGCAGGAGAAGCTTATTGATATTCAACAGACGAATTATTTGTCTATTTTAGTTGCGTACGGTCACAAAATAATTATGTTACTGAAGTGCATTGTAGTTTTAGTTTGTTTAATGATAGCTGGGATTGCTTACGTTGTAGCCAGGCTTAGTTAATTAATCAACCGTGTGTGTGTCATCTATATTGTGTAATAAAATACTTAATTATGTTCAAGGTTTTCATAATTTGTCGTGTAATGCAGATTATGTCATGCCATTGGATGTACAATACCGATCGTCGCTCCCAAGACTTTATTGAGTGCGTGCACTATTTCTTAGGTGTGGCCGAGGCAAATAAGCGGGATGGTTTCATGTGCTGTCCATGTGCCCTATGTAATAATTTAAAGGAATATTCAAGCTCAGTGAGTCTTTATTCACATTTGCTTAAGTCAGGTTTTATGTCAAACTATATATGTTGGACTAAGCATGGAGAAAGCGGGGTCATGATGGAAGAAGGTGAAGGAGAAGATTTAGACATTGATGACATTATTGTTCAGTATGGTGCCTTTGATGATACTACAATGGGGGGAGATGAAGAAGAGGTAGCGGCAGAAGATGATCTCGGTGATGCTCTTGGCGATGCCATTCGTGATGCACAACAAGAATGCGAAAGTGAAAAAGAGAAAGTTAAGTTCGAGCGCATGCTTGAGGATCATAGGAAGTTGCTATACCCGACGGCCGAAGAGGGGTAAAAAAAACTGGGTACAACACTGGAATTGCTACAGTGGAAGGCAAAGAATGGTGCATCCGACAAGGCATTTGGGAATTTATTGAACCTCATAAAGAAGATGCTTCGAAGCCAAATGAATTGCCCACCACTACGCATCTGAAGCAAAAAAGGTTATCCGCCTTTGGGATTAAAAATCTAGAAGATAATTGCATGTCCTAATGATCGCATCCTCTACCATGGCAATGAATACGAGAATTTGGATGTATGCCGGTATGTAAAGCATCGCGGTATAAGATCGGTAGCGATGATCACGGTGACGTCGAGGGTGAACAACATCCTAGAAAGAAAATCCCCGCCAAGGTTATGTGATATGCTCCTATAATACCACGCTTAAAACGTTTGTTCAGAAATAAAGACCATGCAAAGTTGTTGCAGTGGCATAAAGAAGACCATAAGGTAGACAATATCTTTGAGTCACCCCGGTGATGGGTCCCAGTGGAGAGCGATAGATGTGGAATTTCGAGTTTGCAAATGAGGCTAGAAACTTAAGGTTCGCCTTAAATACAGATGGTATGAATCCTTTTGGGAGAAGCAGAGCACTAGTCATAGCACTTGGCCGCCATCTATGTATCTACAACTTTCCTCCATGGTTATGCATGAAGCGGAAGTTCATTATGATGACGATCCTCATCCAAGGTCCGAGGCAACCTGGCAACAACATTGATGTCTATCTGAAGCCATTAGTTGAAGAACTTCTAGTTTTATGGAACAAACCAGGTGTACGTGTCTGGGATGAGTAGAAACAAGAACACTTTGACCTACGAGCAATGTTGTTCGTAACAATCAATGATTGGCCTGCTTTAAGTAATCTTTCAGGTTAGACAAACAAAGGATATAATGCTTGCACACATTGTTTTGATAACCTTGACAGTATATATTTGAAAAGATGTCGAAAGGTCATGTACCTTGGCCATCGTCGATTCCTTCCTTTGAATCAACAAGTAAGAAAGAAAGGGAAGCATTTTAAAGGTAAGCTAGACCACCGGAAGAAGCCTCATAACCAAACCGGGGAAGATGTACTCACAATGGTCAAGGATGTAAAAGTAGTATTTGGAAAGG